ATATGATTTGATGTAGTGACACAATTTTGCATCGTGATTACGTAATGACGTCACCACGCAATGACATCACAACGTCATTTACAGCAACTTTTAGCAACAAATCGACCTTCCTTTAGCAACTTCCCCTGAAAATTAGTTGGCAACACTGGGTGTACAGTATAACGTTCTTCTGCTTATATTCTCACTAAAATCCCCCCTGCTATGTTTTCCTCTCTTTTCTAATCACAGTTCACCATTCACCGGATTCCTCGCAGTCGGGAGGTGCGTCAGTCGTGGAGTTCCTCCGTTTTGAGTTCTCTCAGCGCTCTGATGTCTTCCGTCCCGCTAGTCTTTAGGCTTCAGCCGGATATGGTGGGTTCACTCTCCTCTCATTCATCCCACCATCATATCCTATTAAGTATCAATTTCCTCTCTTCTGCAGGACGTTTGTGTAACTCGCAACCCCCACCCCCCCCATGTTACTATGTTAAGTAGTCAAGTGTCCTTTAGATTTCTAGGACTTTAATACAGTGTGCAATTCAATACAATAAAGACGGTAGTGTTATTATTTAGCTCAATTATTTCAGTTTCAGTTCAGTAACTGTCAATATTGCAAAGTTCATCCATTATGAAACAAGTTCAATTTAGCTCTAGGCAGCTCTACAATAGTGCAATTATTCAGCTCAAGTAACATGAACATATATTATATTGTATTGTTAATGTGCTATATTGTTAATCTTTCTTTAATGCATTTCTAAAAGTAAATCTCTGTAGCCACATGTCCTTCAGATTAACGCTGTGGCGTCTTTTGCCCAGTCCATAACCTTGAGAGTTCAAACATCCTGTGCACTGTTTTGGAAAACATAGCTTTTTTATAAATATCTCCACCCTCTATTATTTATAGTTCAGATCATCTGCAAAATCTAGTCCAAATTCTGTCGTTTTCCTTAAGGTTCAGCCCGAGAAATACAGTTATAGTGTTTGCATTTTTAAGTCCGCTCACACTTTTGCTGTTTCTATACTAACTGTGGCGGGAATATCTTTGGAATGGATTTAAATATGGTAGAATGTGTTTAATGCAAACTTATTGGTAGCTGAAATGGAAACGGACGCTGGTTACAGTACGCTCATATTGTGTGTTTTTAGTTTTTGTGAATGATTCATCAGTGCATGTTATGCCAAGGAAGCCAAATGTTTGTTTTTGTAATGCTTCATTCTTCTGATTTAACTCCTTTTTCGACTGATGTCACCAAGCCCTCATTTTTCAACTGCTCACCTTCAACCGTGTTACGCAGAGACCCCTTAGACTCCTGTTAGATCAAATCAAATCCTGATAGTTCACCCAAAAATGAAAATTCGGTCACCATTGCCTCATCCTCATGTTATTGAAACCTATAATGGTGCAGTCAATGTGATCCCACATTTGGTTTTTGACCACTGAATATTGGTAATATTCAACAATCTGATTAGGAATATATCTGAATATGAATATATGGGGAGCCTCAATGAGGTCCCCATGTCTCTAGGACTGAATGATATAAGGCCTTGATGAGGATTCAAAAAGAATATTCAAAATTTTGGACTAGAATTTAAAATCCTATTGTGATATCTTAAATACTACTTGAGTTATAGGCACGCAAAGTTTGGAAAGAGAAGATGAATGCACTCAGACAGGTATGTTCAGCGTAGTTGTTTTGACGGAAGGAAATTATTTTGGTCTTCAGACTTTCCTCGTTAAAAGAAAAGAAGTATACTATTTTATGCAAAGTGACTCATATTTGGTTTTTGACTAATGAAAATGTATACAATTTACTCTTGGAGCCATATTGAAATTCCAGTATCTCTGGAACTGAACCATACAGGGCCTTAAAAATGAAGATGCCAAAAGGAAAGTGTGTTAAGACCCAATATCTAAAAGGGCATAAACATATCTTTAATACTTCTTGAGTTATAGGCATGCAAACTTGCTGCTCTTTCTCCATTTTTGAATGGTCACCATTGGCACACAATGCAACAAAGATTGCTAAAGTCAACAGATTTTTCTAACATGCCTACCAATCTCTGTGTAAAAATAACACATGATGCAGTCATTTTAACCCTCTGTAATTTGGCTCTGAATCTCAGGTGAAAATTGTCATTTTGACCCCACTCTACAAAATAGTGGATTACTCAGTAAATATACATCAATGACATTTAATATTTTGTCTTTCATCACTATACTATATATCTTTCTTAAGAAAAAAAATATTAGCAAAATAAAAAATTTGAGCCGGGGAACGAGTTGACACGGAGTGACCCATTTTCCTTTTTTGTGGTTAATTTTTCTTCAGTTAACATTTATTTCAAGAATCGAAAATGTTTTTGGACCCCATTGACTTTCAAAATAACTTCTTTTGAAAGTCATACAGGTTTAGTAAATGCTGACAGAATGGTCATTTTGTGTGAACTATCCCTGCTTAACACAAAAGCAGTAGTTGTTGTGCATGTCACACAGCAGCACTGGGAATGTTTAAGCAGGTGATAAAGACGTTTTTTCCTTCAGCAGATGATAAGACTATCGCATTACTGCTGGAAGACTATCTGCTTTATAAGCAAACACTAGTCCTGCTGTTTCTCTGCTTGTCTTCAGCAAGAAACGGAGAGAGAGAGAGTTGCTGGGAAAACTCTCAAAGACAGATAAAGAAGCAAGGTAGGGGGTTGATTTAGAAAAAGAGAGAGGGATGGGCAGCGTTTAAGCCCTTTTTCAGGAATGGTCTGTAATCCAGGGCCTCTTTCTCTCTCCTCCTCCTCCTGTGGTTGTGTAATGAAGGGTTGTGAGCGGAGCAGCCGAGGGGTCTTGTTCTCAGGATGTGGCGAGACCTGACTGGCTCCTCGGCCCAGCTGCTTGACTCCTCTCCCCCTGGAGGCGGAGCCAAGCAGCATTGGGTTTCTGCGTTGCCGTGGCGACCGGCTGAGAGGAGGCGGAGCGTGACTAAGCGGCCGGCGCAGCAGTGCATGAGCAGTAGAGCTCAAAGGTCAGAATCAACCAGTCAAATCTCTCACGGGCGACCACGCTATAGTATTCTATTAATCTCTAATTAGCGGCCTCTGTCCTCATGCTGACGTCATTTCCCACTTTTCCAGTCAGCCGAGTTTATTTAATGAGAAAGAGGTTTGCAGATTTGTACAAACTTGTATCTGTTGCCACGTTAGTTTCATGGTAAAAGATTTTAGATAAACTTACTTCATCTCAGAAAGAAATGTCATATTTTACCCTAAAATCAAATCAAATATTTTTTAATTATTTAAATTAAATTGTATATAAATTTGTATTATCATATCATATATTATCATATATTTACTGTTTTATTATAAAATCTTATATATTGTGTATTGTGTTTATGTTGTATGTGTGTGTATGTATGTATGTATACTAATTATACAGTGGGTACGGAAAGTATTCAGACCCCCTTACATTTTTCACTCTTTGTTATATTGCAGCCATTTGCTAAAATCATTTAAGTTCATTTTTTTCCCTCATTAATGTACACACAGCACCCCATATTGACAGAAAAACACAGAATTGTTGACATTTTTGCAGATTTATTAAAAAAGAAAAACTGAAATATCACATGGTCCTAAGTATTCAGACCCTTTGCTCAGTATTTAGTAGAAGCACCCTTTTGAACTAATACAGCCATGAGTCTTTTTGGGAAAGAGGCAACAAGTTTTTCACACCTGGATTTGAGGATCCTCTGCCATTCCTCCTTGCAGAGCCTCTCCAGTTCTGTGTATAATTATATATTTGTATATCATTTTAGTACTTCAACTTAATCTGCCAAGGTCACATTTCTAATTTTCATTTAAGTTTATCTAATATTTATATTTTATTTAAATTCAGCTTATATCAATTATCAAAAATAATTTTTATAGTTTTACTTTAACAGCACTGATTCATGCTCTTAGCTCATTTCTCATTATTGATTATATACTATATAATCACCCTTTCTGGACACAGTTATTATTATAAATAATTATTCAAAAAAATCTAAATGTTATATCAATAAATGCAATATCTGCTAAATGCCACCTCCAAGATATATAAAATATATATTTGTTTCTCTCTGTGTTTGTTTTTGTGTGTCTTTGTCTGTGTGTGTGTGTGAGATTCACCTGCATATATATAATGTATGTTTAAAAAAAAATTTTTGTTTAAGTTTTGTTGTTTATTTGGAATGTGAAATTACACTATAAGTACCAGGTGGCCTTTGATCTGGCATTGCACTCTGACAGCAGGATTTCCTTTTTAGTCCAGCAGACAATGTCTAAGATCTTCTTTAGGGGGTCCGGCACCCCTATCGTGTCTGCACAGTGAGGGATCGTCCTTCAGCATGACTCAAATGTCAGCTGTTTGTTTTAACCAAACTTGAGCATGTCAGTGAGGGGCTGGGGCCCGTTCGTCCACATACCAGAGTGCAATAGGGGGAAGTGGGGGGTCAGGTCTGAAATCCGGAGGTGAAGAGGAGGAGGATTCAGTCCTCTTTTGGCCATAAAAGGAAATAAGTGCGTCACGGGTCCTCATGAGCTCCAGATGTGTTGGCACAAGCCAAGTGTCTCGGCCTAGTTCCGCATGCCACGCGGAGCAGTTAATAGTGAATACTACTGTTCACTATTTACAGCTTATGTTAATACGTCAGTCTAGACTCAAGTGCGTACATTTTGTTTGTTTACTTATCAGATTTGGCATGTGGCAAAAGTCTTAATTAGTTTAAAACGTAATATAGTTGCATAATAACTACAGCTTGTTTTTACTAAGACTGGAATCTAAAAAACTGTTTATCAAGATCGTTTTAATTGATTTTAAATTAGCAATAAAACTTTCCTACAGCCGCTGCACTGTAAAAATAGGGCACAATGTACTGTATTAATATATATTAAATAATATGAAGTCATTTTCTGTATTGATTTTTTACAGGTGTTTTACCTGTTTTTTATTTTATTTTGCACGTCTGTCTGTGTGTCATCTCTTAGACTCCCTTTGACAACTTTATACTTGAATTGGTGCTTAATTTGTTTTGAAATATCTTGATAAAAACAAACTACTCTGCACAGAAATCCACCTTATGCAATCAGATTGTCCGAGAAATTCATGCCGTTTCTTAAGTGATTCTAGTTGTGATGCAAATCCAAAAATGAGAAAGAATACGGGAAAACAATTTGAAGAATCTATGTTCCATAGATTTTGTGAGAGGGGGAGGAGGGTTGTGCGATTAACAATAACAAATAGCGGGGTCTGGATGTTGTGCGGTGGACATCCCCTCGCATTCCACACAGACTCCTCACTGATCCTGAGTTTTTTTAGTTTGACTGCATCTCCATCCATATGTTTCATCTTAGCCTTATTTGGAAATGCAGCGGACGGAGCTCTTGTGTGTTTTATTTATTTAATGTTCATCCATATGTTTAAGATAATTAGTGATGGATAGATCATAAAACAAGATCCGCAGGTTAGGATATGCACGTAGAGAAATAATGTTCATAAACAAGCAGTTAGTGTGTAATCCTAATCACAAATCTAATGTCACATAATATAATATAAGCAATAATGTACAAAAGGGCATGCTAGATTGTTAAAGAACTCAATACAGTTTATTCAGATTACAACTTATTTCTTTAAATAAATAAAAAATAACTACATACATACATAAATTAATTGGAAATTAAACACAGACAAACATATATACCTGTATGTTTCTATATGTATTTATTATTCTACAATCAAATAATCTTTATATATATATATATATATATATATATATATATATAT